AAACAGGCAATCCTCGACACATGCTTTGCAAAATCGGAATATTATATATATATATATATATATATATATATATATATATATATATATATATATATATATATATATATATATATATATATATATATATATATATATATATATATATATTATTGGAATATACGAAAAAAAATACATAGTGCAACACATTACTAAATTTTCATCCTGTGCACAGCGCAAGGTACTACTTTTCCACCTGCTCTAGTGATGGAATACCCTACAACGGAACTTCCGTTTGGCACAGTCACCAGTGACTTGTTACAACTTCTGAGGAATCACCAAGGATCTCTGTACGTACTGAAGTGTGTCGATCATTTCTCCAGATTTGTGATTTAAGTCTCACTGCAGGATAAATCAACGGAATCTGTGGCTCACGCCCTTGTTATGCATCTCATATGCCCTGTTACTACGCCCAAGGTTCTTCTCTCTGACAACGGATTAGAGTTCAAGAATCAACTTTTAGCAAAAATATGTCTGCAATATAGCATCCTACAAATCAAGCCTCCACAACAAGCACTCTACAAATCAATTATCACAGCGAGCAATCTACAAATCAAGCCTCCTCGATGAGTGCCCAACAAAGCTTCATCACAGCTTTTCATCCACAGGCAAATAGCCTTTTTGAAAGAACCAATCGTAAAATCCTTGAGATTCTTCGTTATCTTGTAAATCCAATGCACAATGCATGGTAGGATGGATTTACTTCATGTCGCAACCTCTATCAGCGGGTCGATCAATAGCTCCATTCACGGGCAAATCACCCAAATATACTGTTTATGGCACAGACAAATGTTATACCTTATGACATACTTCCAGGCAAATCTCACTCTGTCTTCAGTACGGACGATTTCGCTACTTAGCAAATCAGCGTCTTCACAGACATCCATGGTCAAGTGCAGACACATTTAGCAGCGTCACACTCTGAAATGAATTACAAGAAACACAAACAGGCTAAGCCTACAACACTATAAATAAGCGACTCTATCATGGTTAGAGAACCTGAGCGAATCTCCCAACTTTCGCTAAAATTTTTAGGTCCATCCCTGATTATTGCAAGGGAAAGGGGGCTACACATTAAAAAAAATTGGAGCCAAACACAAATCTCAGATGTAGCACATGCGGCCAGACTTAAAAGGGTACACCTAGAGTTCCTACATAGGAATGTCAACGATATCCCGGACACATCTGCTCAAACCGCAAACACATCAAGTACACCAGCTTTATCTAATGATTATCGTTTAAAATTACGCTCTGCAAACCAATAATGAATTTTTTTTATCTACAATTTCTAAATTAAAACCAGTGACAAGCTCAAAGAAAAACATTAATACCAGTGACAAGTTCATTGAAGAACATTAAGACTAATGACAATCTGATTGAAGATCATTATTACCAATGACAAGCTCATTGCTGCTTTAATAAACACGGGCTTATGACGCGTGGATGTCCACCTCTTGCTAGTACACACTCTTCATTTAACCTCTATTTTGTATGCCACAATTCTGGGATCTTTTTCTCCTTTAACTAGAAGCAATGCTACTGCATATTATACTTCTCTTGTAATTTACAGTCCAATGTTTTCACCGCATGACAAATGGAACCTTTCCTAATATACTGTAGGTTATGACACACTTGTGACCCTCGATAAACTAACTGAACATTAGTAGTGCCTGATCACTTCTCATTTGTTTTAGCAATGGCTGATTCTAAGGTTATGATATCTCAGTGTAAATCGTCATATCTATATCTGTATGTATGTCCAGCCTCTGCATTCACGTTATAGAGAAATCCGACTGTGAAAAATTTTTAGGAGCAATGATAAGTAGGAATCTTAAACCAAGAAAGCAATGTGTGTTTGCTCGAAGCAAGGCTAACAGAGTACTTGGGTTCATACAAAGGAGTGTTAGTTATAAGACTAGCGAGGCTATTCTAAAAGTATATCTTACACTTGTGAGACCTCAATTGGATTATGCAGTTCATTTCTGGTCACCATACTATGGAATGAATATAGAATCCCTAGAAAAAATTCAGAGGAGAATGACAAGACTAATTCCGGGCATGAGGAACCTTGAGTACAGAGACAGGTTAAAGCATCGTAATTTGCACTCCCTCGAGAGTAGCAGAGTAAGGGGCGATATGATCGAGGTGTATAAATGGAAGTCAGGGCTAAACAAAGGTGCTATAACAAAGGTACTCAACTATCCAACCAGGAGCGAACTCGTAGAAATGGTTTTATATTAGACAAATTTTGATTTAGGTGTGAGATAGGTAAACATTGGTTTGGAAATAGAGTAGTAGATGAGTGGAAAAAATTACCAAACATCACCATTAACTCGAACACGCTAGATAGCTTCAAACATAGGTTGGATGGATATATGAGCGACAGGGGTTGGGTGTAAATGGGACTGGACAGTATGGGCCAATAGGCTTGCTGCAATTTTCTCCATTCTTTTGTTCATATGTTTATTCCTGTTGCAGAAGAAATAAGCAAACTGGCACTCATACAAACGGCTGCTCACACAGTGCTTACGCAATGTGTTTATACTCCTAGGTCCACGAATATTGTGTTTCATGCACATCTTCATAGTGTGTGATTTTTTTCCTGACCAGTCCTGTGTCTTTTTACTATGTCAGGATGGTGGTAAGTACTTCGTAGTTCAAGGTTATTATTTTATTATATGGCTTCAGACTATTATGAATTCATCAGCAGTAGTGCCGTCATAATCTTGCCAGCCCATCTTGTATTATTTTCCTTTAATTTGATTTAACTTCAGATCAGATATCTTTATTCCTTAAATGTTAGTATTGTTCCCAGCAAACACAATCAAGTTTCTGTCAATTTAACCCCCTTTTTCTTATCTCAATGAAACACAAACCCCTTAATTTGAAGATATTATTTGTATATGGGTTTTTGTGATTCCCAGTTATGTTCTACCAACTTTCAGACTCATTTTATCAATTTATTGTATGTTTTGATATTACAGACACGTCATTTCGAAAGTTGCAATTGTACAAGTTACAGTCCTGTTACATAAGGCATTTAAGGCTAGGAATTTAGACTATCAACCCCCGATTGTAGATTCCTCAGTTAGGCTACAGTACATTTTATCTTTTATAACATTGATAGACATCCATAGGTATTATGTTGTACTATGTGGTTAGTTTACTCCTCCGGTGAACTCGGAGGGTGGTGGCCGAGTAATGTATTAGCCCCTGTCTAACAGACAGTAATACTTGTATAAATGTGGGTTACATACATTAGGTTTAAATAATTACATCACCCACGGTAACTTTCCTATGCCCTCACACCTTGACCACAGAGTCATCAATTAAGTTGCTGGCTATCGCCAGTTCGACTCCCATATCTGAGCCACTGAGACGTGTGCTTTAAGAAGCTAGTTTATGCTCAAGTTTCATCGCTTATTAACGCTCACAGTTCATAGCGTTAAATATGGTGATATCCCAGTCATTGTACAATAGTTATTTTCTTAATTAATGGAGAAAAGACCACTTGGGTTTGAAAACTTAACCCATAAACATTTATGAATGCAACTTCCAGTTAACCTCTAATTAGTGATTCCACAGGTAACTGGAAACTGCAACAAGATGTTGGGAGATAGTGCTCATACCTACATAGGAAGGTGAGAGATAATTTCTATATATCTCTATCAGCATATAGACGGACAGTACTTGTATAAATGTGGGCCAAGTACATGTTATCATTATATACTGTACACTATCCAGATTAAACAGAATAAGGGCGAAGATTCATATTTCACCTTATCCTGTCATTTTGCACACAGGCATTCATTGCTTATCTCATCACTTCTTGTAACATTTCAAATGGCCTTCAAATCTTCACCACGAACCAATAAACTTTTAGAGTTAGCATTTAAGTTACCGGCGTTCAAGCCAGATTTAGATTGTACCTCACACCTATCAGATGTGTGACTTATGGCTCTAGCCCTGAGCCGAATATATTTTCTCATAGCCGTGTTTTGTTTAATCAGCAAACCAGTCCAACAATTTCTGACAAGATATAACCATATTTTTATAATAAATGTAAAAAGGTTTTAAGTGTTCACTTTGAGCATTAACACTCTGAGACAAACACAAACATAGAATACTTATTACTCCTAGGGATACTACAGTAACAGCAAGTAATATGTACAATCAATAAAACAAGGAGTGAAGTCAGCAGAGCAGCGACCAGGCTTCATCAGATTCAAAATGTAACAGTGGTGATGATTACAAACTCTTATAATTCTCCACCACAAAGTTACATTAAATTATTACCAGGTGGATTTTCAACTATCCATGACCGGTACACTATATCTCCATAGGAAGGTGGGGGATAGATTTTATAGTTCCATAGGATGGTGGGAGATAGTGTATATACCTCAGTAGGAAGGTTTGAGCAATCAATAGTAATACCATATCCTAACCAGACTACCGTCATGATCGCCGTTTTTCCAATCAGGTTGGGTTATGTTAAATTAAGTTACGATAAAAAAAAATTATAAAAATCACAGATAAAAACAAGTTATATAATTATTATAAAACTAATCAGAATATATGTTAACATGGCACTAGCGAAGCTAGGAATGAGAAGAGCTCCCAGTCTGGCTAGTTAAGCAATTTTCGTGCATACCCATTATTAGCCAGAGGAGAGCAGAGAATTAAAGAGCTCTCAGACCTCTACACCAGACGCCCAGACTAGCGAGGTTCACTTCCTTCTACATTTCGTTTAACACAAAATAAGTGGGTGCTTCACTGATAATAATAAACAGTAAAATAAATAAAAACCTAGGAAATAAATATACAGTAAAATAAGACATATTTTAGTACCTAGAAAATTCAGCGGACAGGAAAGAGGGTGGATGATTGAAAATTATACATATACTGTAGAGTCCAAAGGGACGGGCAACTATGAAATACATCACTACCTAGTGAAATATGGCCAGTTAGGGGTGGTATGGATACAACACATTGATGATTAATTCATCGATACACATGGAGTCAGCATGGCCGGCACTGCTACAGCTGTAAAGTTAAATGTTCATTCTGCAACTAGGACGACTGGGGACATCCCACCTGGTGACTGGCCATAGGATTCAAAAAGGTAGCCTTTGGGTCAGGAGATGAGTGCTCTATCCACTCGGCTGCCACACCCATGAAATACGATATTTCTAAACAAAATTATAACTTCAACTTGGGGACAGTGATAAGTCACAGGTGGCGCCTGATCTTGACCAGTCTGTGTGATCATCAACAAGATGTTCAGATTTACTTAAATTAACATGTTTTGACTCCGTAGTGATATAGTAGTGATATGAGTGAGAACTTAAAATCTTTTATAGACCTTGCCATGGAATTATGAAGTTTTGCTGACCAAGTCATAAGGTAAAAATTCTGTTCACTTAGTCATTATTGAAAGCTTCACACTGACACAATATTTCTTGTTTTCGTCTTCCAGATATCACACTTACCTAGAGTGAAGACACTGACTCACAGTTGTCTAGGTATGAATCAGAGGTTCACTTTTGACATGCCCTGGTGATACTGACCTGGAAAGTGATCTGGGAGTCTCGGAGGGCGTAGTGGTGCCGGAGAAGCTGTACATGTTGGCCACACCCGATGCTGTAGAGGAACAGTGCATCTGGTAGAGTGGACCTGTCAATACACGGAGACCGGAGGTCAGGAAGAGAGAGAGAGAGAGAGAGAGAGACTCCAGCTAATTATTATATTAAATAAGAAAATAATTATTAATATATCTACAGGGTATAACATGAACATGGTTCATCCAAGAACAACATTGGACCTGTCGAAATAAGCGACATCTCCTCAAAACAAATCAAGAAGATAGCAACCCACACAACGACTTCACGACGACTTCAACCCGCGCCAGACGCGGATGACGACCTCCCTGGTTCAGGCCAAAATCAGCATAATCGTAGACTCGACATGGCCAGCGACAACATAAATCTCCTTGACTCTAAGTCATGGAATCCTAGCGGCGACAACGACCATCGAACTGCAACTATAGCCAGTGTGGTTGCGACTGGGTGATGGTGGCTTACTCCACACAGAAACGAGACCTTCGAGCTGTGGCGCCATTCAATGACTTTGCCATGCAGGTCCAGGACCTGAACATCTCCCTGTACACGGCTGATAGAAAGTTTGAGGGCTTGCCATAACTGATAGGTAGATTTTCGAAGGTTTTGCTAAAAAGTTGTGGCCCCCAATAATGACAAAATTCGAGCAAGCACCTCAAGTGACACCCAAGCTACAGTATCCGAAATGACAGTCGTTAGCAAGATGGAAATTGTCCTACATAATGTCCTACACTGGAACTTTTTAGTAGATGCAACGAATTGTCTAACCTATACTATCAATTAGACCCAGACATTATTCTGCTAAATAGTACCGGCATAAAGTATGAAAGGTGAAGAATTTTGACAACGCTATATCCCAAAGGAACATGACAGGTGAGCTGAGCGACGGTGTCGCTGTGGCCGTCTGGTTACGGCTGAGTCACAGATTGTTGCTGGGCTTCGAGGATTCAGTTCTAAAGTGAAGATGGAGACCGCCAGAGGACCCGTTATCATATGCACGATGTACCTACCTCCTAGACGTCTTTACTTACTCGAACACGCCTTCAACCAGCTGCTGCGCCACAAAAAACTGACATACATCACATGGGAATTAAATGTGCGCCATGCCATACTCGGACACGGTAATGAGGACCCCAGCAAAGGAAAGCGGCATTAGGTAGTAGTAGGTAGTAGGTAGTAGGCAGCTATCAAACAGGGAGGCACTACCGCCTGGGAAGATATTGGAAGCATAATGTGTTGTCTAATGATAGACCCTGCTGCCATATGGCATCACAAAAATTGTGACCAAGTCCTAGGTTGCTGAGCTGACTTTCCGCCTCATTTACACGCAATTGTAGGGTCTCAATTGTTTTTCTTACTTTGACAACACAAAATACATAATGTACATATCGTATCTCATTCTTGATTAATTTTTTTCGTTTTGTATTTTTTATGGTTATTATTATTTTTATTATTTATTTTATTTTTATTATTTTGTTATTAATTTTATTAATTATTATAATAATAATAGTTGTTATTATTATTATTATTATTATTATTATTATTATATTATTATTATTATTATTATCATTATTATTATTATTATTATTAATTATTATTATTATTATTATTATTATTATTATTATTATTATTATTATTATTATTATTATTATTATTATTATTATTATTATTATTATTATTATTATTATCACTATTATTATAATATCTTCGCCCCCAAGGCCCTGATGTGGGTCAGTGACTTGTGCCCGGGTGGGCTAATCCCCGTTAAAAAAAAAAAAAAACCTCTGACCAGATTTCCCGACATAACTCTCGCGTGCCCACAACACCAGACATAATCATCTCTAACAACGAGGCCGTCCTGAACAGGCACGTTACCGCGCCGGACCCATCTGTACCAGCGACCACCTACCAGTCTTCGTGACGAGAGCATCCAGCTCCATTATAATCCCCACCAAAATCAGGTCAAATTTCGGACAGGCAGACTGGGACTCCTTCAAGGAGTCTTTAAGTCTCAAGCAGAGGAGGAACTTGGAAGGGGGCAGCCCCAATGACATCGAAGACGCGGTCGAGCAATGGTACAGTTCATTAATGTGATAACGGAGGCGAGCAGCAGCAACATCTGGACCACGACCACAGGACCATTCCCCACCTTCAGACTAGTCCTCAGCTGAGGCAGCTTAGTGTCCAGAACGATCACGTGAGACAGTTAGCCAGTATCAGCGGGTGGACGCAAGAGCTGAGGGACCTGTACAGAGAGCTACGGACAGACATCCAACACGAAAGCAAACGTCTACAGGAATAAAAACGAGCCGCCTTAGAGTGGGATGCAACCAACAACTAACGCGATTCTAACGTGATGCTATATGTAGTGATGATGGGTGGTGATATATGTAGTGATGATCTATCTATCTACAGTATATAAAGCAAAGAAGTATGTCTGTTTGTGTGTGGTGTGTTTGTTTGTGTGTCCGCACTAAAATCTCAGAAACTACTTTACTGATCTGTAGTGATGATGGATGGTGTTATATGTAGTGATGATGAATGGTGTTATATGTAGTGATGATGGATGATGTTATATATAGTGATGATGGATGATGTTATATATAGTGATGATGGATGATGTTATATGTAATGATGATGGTTGTTGTTATATGTAGTGATGATGGGTGGTGTTATTATATGTCGTGATGATTAGACAATCTATCTATATAAAACGAAGAAGTCTGTCTGTTTGTCTGTGTTTCCGCAGGAGAATGTCAGAAACTACTTTACCGATCTGTAGTGATGATGCAGACAAGGTTTAGATAGGTCGGAGAAGAAGTTAACAATAGCTAACAGAGGGTTTATCGCAGGGATTCTGTAGAGCCCACGCGGTCGAGTTGAGCAGTTTGAGGGGTGGAGTGGAGTGAGCTGTCTGTGTTGACCACTGGTTAGCGAAGTTTTAACTGGGACAGCCCGAAGGAACGAGTGTTCCTGACAACTAACTAAGTGGGACCAGCGTCCGCCCTCGGTTGACGATCATTTGGGGTCACCAGTTCTCCCCCACCATAATTCACAATACCACATATCTTCAGTCAGTTTAGTAAAAACTCCTACTAACGGGAAAATAGAACCCCCCTCAGCTGGGCAGGTTTCATTGGCTGACTGGCCCTCTCTCTCTTCTGGTTCATGGATGTTCTGAGCGTAAAACTGAGGCAGTCTGAGTGAATGAACGGTCACACACTGAGACCAGGAGTCTAGTGGGTACTTAGAGACATTTTATCTCCCCAGTGTGGGTGTGTTCTGAGTTTGTGTGATGCATGTTACGGGAAATGGTGGTAAGGTGTGTGTAGAATTTCCCAAGACCAGGTGTGAAAACAGCGCCCCTCATGGTTGATTTTCACACGTGAGATGCTAGAATTTCTGTCCAGAGTTGTGAAGGGCTTGTTAGTGCCTTGAAAATACGGGTGCATTTGGAACCTATGTGTGAGATTAAGAAGCATGTTTTACGGGTATTGGTGGAGAAAAACATTCATGACTCCTGAGATTCTAGAGAAAGTACTGACAAAAAACCGCGGAGCACCAGCCTGCCTAATGGGTCATGAGTGATTTTCTCTGGTTTCTTGTAAATGCCGGCCTCCTTGGCAGGCTAGTAGTTACACCTTTCGGGTTATTGGGCAGTTAGGATTGTAGTAGTTGTGGGTCATCCCAGACAGGCAATGATTGATCCATGTATGTAGTTCATATTTTCTTAATATTTTTTATACCATTTCTCAGTGACTGATATTATTTTGTTGAATGCCCTTAAGGCCTGTTCATGGTGGAGTTAATAAGTTCTTAATATTTTTTATACCATTCTCTCAGTGACTGATATTATTTTGTTGAATGCCTTTAAGGCCTGTTCATGTGTGTAAGCAACATTTCTTAATAATTTGATGCTATTGTTTTCTAATGTTTATGTGTCACTAAGGGATTCTGGTGTAAGTAGCACTGTTACCTTAGTAGTGCTCATAAGGCATTTAATATTTTTACCTATTTTTTATATCATGTATAACCTTTGTTCCCCAGTGTAGTGTTTTAAGCCAGGTTAAGAAGTGCGCTAAAGTTGGTGTACCATTAATTATTGATTGTGGTTGTAGTGTTGGAGGGAATAGAAGTGTCAAATTTTATAGTGCTTGTCTCATTCACCCCAATCACAGGTGCTAACTTTTCACGGGTCACGGAGAATAGTTTTAAGTTAATTGTGTTTGTGCTGAATCGTTTTTTTTTAAAGGGGCGCTTCCACTGCATTACCATCCACTATAATCAAAATCCCCAAGTGAGAGATTTCCGACCGGTTACATATAAATATATATATATATATATATATATATATATATATATATATATATATATATATATATATATATATATATATATATATATATATATATATATATACACATATATATGTATATCATCTGATTCTGAGGCATAATTATAAGGGAATTCTTAGAAAGATTAAACATATGATCCAAGAAAAAGGAAATAAATTGTGTGGGATTACTTAAAGCAAAAACAATAAGATCCTGTTTGAGGCAGAACTAAAAGGCAAATGGGCACAGCACATAGAAGAGCTATACATTGATAAAGATAGAGTAGAGGTAAGAAACGAAAAGGAAATAAAGATCGAAATACCAAGTCTGGAAACAGAAGTAAGGGCAGCTGTGAGTAAATTGAAATATGATAAAGCTTGTGCGGTTGATCAGCTTCCAACATAATTTATGAAACAAATGGGCAAGAATGTGATATAATGTCTGACAAAAATATGTAATTCTATATACTTCAAAGGAGACCTTCCCTGTGATTTTAAAAACAAAGAAAACAATATTTGTATTATTACCTAAAAAGTCAGAAGCATTAGTGGACCCATTTTATAACAATAAGATTAATAAGTAATGCCTGTAAAGTTTTATTCAACATAATTTTAAGTAAAATAAAGTTTTGAATCTAAAGTGAGTTATCTGAAGAGCAAAATGGATCTACAAAGGTAAAAAGAACTAGAGAAGCTATATTTGGTTGAGCATTTTTCAGTGAAAG